AGCGTTATACCACCCGCTCGGTTACTGGTATACTACTTGTATTGTCCCACCGTTATACCACACTCCCGGTTACTGGTATACTACTGGTGATGTCCCTCCGTTATACCACACTTCCGGTTACTGGTATACTTCTGGTATTGTCCACTTACCGTTATACCACACTTCCGGTTACTGGTACATTACTGGTATTGTCCCCCCGTATCACACTCCCGGTTACTGGCATACTACTGATATTGTCCCACCGTTATACCACACTCCCAGTTAGTGGTATACTACTGGTATACTCCCACCGTTATACCACACTTCCGGTTATCAGTATACTACTTGTACTGTCCACTTATCGTTATACCACACTCCTGGTTACTGGTATACTACTGGTATAGTCCCACCGTTTTACCACACTTCCGGTTTCTGGTATACTACTGGTATAGTCCCACCGTTTTACCACACTTCCGGTTTCTGGTATACTACTGGTACCGTCAAGCATATGTTATGCTTGATTTTCGGTTACCTGTATACTATTAGGACATTTACAATTACATCACACTCCCGGTTTTCCTTACTTGCATGCACACTTCTTTATATCAGTAAGCAATAAGTCCCCGGAGTACACTGAGCGGTGAGACAAGCTAAGAAAAACCACTATAGTAATACACAAGCATGTAAGAAACATCACTAAATTATATACGTCTATCAAAAAAACTATGTAACACTTAACAATCAAATGTTTCAACAATTCTGTGCCTGTGAATAATAACACATGCATGGGAGATAATCCGTATTCAACACGACTACGTCAGCCCAAGTCACCAAAAAATACTGAACGAAGAGCGATAACTCTGTGGAACTTACTAGCTAGACTTAGTGCGCATCCAGATATTACAATAGCCTCGGGTATGATATAATTTCCATCCAGATATTACAATAGTCTCTGGTATTATATAATTTACATCCAGATATTACAATAGTCTCGGGTATGATATAATTTACATCCAGATGTTACAATAGTCTCGGGTATGATATGGTATACATCCAGATATAACAATAGTATCGGGTATGATATAATTTATATCCAGATGTTACAATAGTCTCGGGTATGATATGATTTACATCCAGATATTACAATAGCCTCGGGTATGATATAATTTCCATCCAGATATTACAATAGTCTCGGGTATTATATAATTTACATCCAGATATTACAATAGTCTCGGGTATGATATACTTTACATTCCGATGTTACAATAGTCTCGGGGACGATATAATTTACATCCAGATTTTACAATAGTCTCGGGTATGATTTACATCCAGATGTTAAAATAGTCTCGGGTATTATTTACATCCAGATGTTACAATAGTTTCAGGTATGATATAATTTACATCCAGATATTACAATAGTCTCGGGTATGATATACTTTACATTCAGATGTTACAATAGTCTCGGGTACGATATAATTTACATCCAGATGTTACAATAGTCTCGGGTATGATATGATTTACATCCAGATGTTACAATAGTCTCGGGTATGATTTACATCCAGATGTTACAATAGTTTCAGGTATGATATAATTTACATCCAGATGTTACAATAGTCTCGGGTATGATAT